TTTCTCAGCTGATTTTAGAAGAAAGTGTTAATTATTTTTTGAAAAATATACGTCTTTTTGGCCAGGTGCAATGGTTCATGCCTGTAATCCTAGCAGTTTGGGATGCTAAGGCAGGACAATAGCTTGAGGCCAAGATTTGGAGATCAGCTTGAGGAAGAACAAGACCGCATCTCTACAAAAAATTGAAAAATAAAATAAAGTATATGTTCTTTCTCCTTAAAATTTAGTCAGTTTGATTACTAGGGCTTTTTTATTATGAAAGATTATAGGTAAAACTATTCCCAATGCTTGAGACATGAAGGGATTCAATAAAAGGACTATAAAATGATTATCAACTAACATACACAATTTAAAGTTTATTGGCCGTGAACAAAGAAAAAAGAATATCATCTAAAAACAAGTAGTCTGAAATGAAATCTAGAATCTTTAAAACAAACGTTTCTGAAGAAATCTTGTAGGCTTTTTTTCAGATCTTACTCATGCACTGTGGGAGGAAGTCTGTTAGAATAAGTACTTATCGAAATGACCCCTGCTCTTATCAATTCTCAGACGTTTGTCCCATTGCAGCAGTTATTCTGAAGCAACATATTTGTGAAATATTCCGGGTAGGAACGGTCAACTAAAAACAACTTGGACCTTTTTCCATGCTTTGAAATGCTTCTCAGAAGAGTCATTCTATAAAAATTCCAGAAAGTGTACATTTCTCAATCTAAAAAGTATGACGAATGTCTTTTATGATGGAAATAATGTTGACACATTTCTTTCACAGCCATTTTCAGCTCAGATGGCTGGGTTGGATGAGAAATCTGGACTTGGGAGTCAAGTAGGACTGATGCCTGGCTCTGTGGTAAGCATGAGTTAATCAAAGTATTTGAGGAAAGATAATTATAAAAAGAGAAGTTTGAGTTAGATAATCAAAAAATAGCATATGTCTTGTTAAACATGTCTCTCCATCCATTCATTCAATTATCAAACCTTACTATGTACCCGTTAAAAGACCAGTGATGTTTCCTTTGTAACCAGGCAAAGTATTTGTTTACATTAATAAAGGACTGTCTGTGTATATCCCTTAAGACTTGAAGAAAATCAAGGTTTTTAAAACATTTAACCACTACCACAGCAACAAAACCTACACTTTTATAAATTAAAACAGACTTTCTGGTGGTGCTATTAGTGATTTGGCAAAGTTTTGAAATGAGATGCTTTGCTACTTTCTTTTTTTATCATTTTATAGTTGACATTCTCTGACTGCTTTATTTCCTCAACTCTAAGGTTTCCTGGTTGGGCCGTCTCATCATTGTTGCCCTCTTGCTTTAATAGTAAAAAGATTCCTAATTTTTTCCTAGGCAAGTACTTGAACATTTAGGGCAATACTATCCTAGTGAATGAATCAATACTTTTCAGATCAATTTTTCCATGCTTTTTTGCTTATACCATCATTCAAAAGCATTCTAGATGAATGCAACTGCGAGCAGTAAGAAGTATAAAGTCAAACCCTGTTATCACCCCTCTTCCCCATCCTTAAAACCAGACTTACGATTATCTTAAACATTGTATATCTTTTAAGTTATTATTAGTGTGGCATCATGTGATGATTATCTTGGAATATTTTTTTCTGAGTTTTTATCCATTTGGAGTTTAAATTATGTGTTTTTTTTAATGAAATTTCTTACTAGCTAAAATATCTGATCCATTCAAAATAAAAATTTAAGTTTTTTGCCATAAATAAGAATAAAGTTGTTTTTTAAGTGTGGCACTTTAAAAATTATTACATATATATTACATATATATATCTATATATTTATACGTATAGATATAGATATCTATATGTATAAACAAATTTTCTAGCAGTGCATTTTTCTTTTTTTTCCTTCGTGAGGCCTTAGTGCAGTGATTCTCAACCTTCCTAATGCCACAGCCGTTTAATACAGTTCCTGTGGGTTGCAACTCACAGGTTGAGAACTGCTGCCTTAGTGTAATAACTTTATGTTTAGATAGGAAAAGCCTGCGTGGATACTGTCCATGGATATTGTAAAGAAAAAAAAAAAGAAGAAAGAGAGGGAAAGAAGGAGGGTGGGAGAACCCAGAGAACTCAGTGCTCCAGATAATTTTAAATAGACAAAATAGCCATTATTTTTGATTGCTTCATAAACTTTTAATTCAACGTATTAATTTAAGTTATAAGAATTATCTGCTGAAAAACTAAAGAATTAGATAGACAGTTTAGTAATTACTTTGTGCTTGCCAAGATTTTTCTTATTCCTTTGTGCTTGCTGAGATTTTTCTTTATTTGAATGTTCTGGTTTAGTAGAACTCCTCTTTGCATATGCGAGTGTTCTCATCCTGAAGACTTGGAGTGTGTACAGACATATTGTTTACTTCTCTTTATGACACTGAGGGTATGGATAAAATCATCCCAAATGTTGCTTAAGCTTTAATCTCTTTTAATTTAGCTGCCTTCCAAATGAGTACAGATGGAAAATGTCATCATCCCACTCGTTAAAGCTTTACTTTTCCAGATTCTAAAGCTGATTCAACACTTTTGAAATATTTGACCCAACTGTAATGAATGCTATGGATTTTTTTTATTTGTTTTTAAGGGTCCTGTTGGCCCAAGAGGACCACAAGGTTTACAAGGACAGCAAGTAAGTCTTTGCTATGGCTGCTTTTAGTCAGCCTCAAAATTGTAGATCATTATGCTCCCTTTGAATAGGCTGTTTTAAATAATTTAATTTAAATAATGTTGCTTAGAAACATAAGCAATTTTTTCAATGTTTATTCAAGGGGCTAAATTTTCATCATATGAGTTCTTTATGTGATTGACTGACAGTGATGAAAATTATGTGCCTTTGTTTCTGAAACAACACATCATTACCTTATGTCATGAAAATTCTCACAGTTGATTATATGCCAACTCTGAGGTTATGAAATCAGATCATAGAAGGACATAACTATGTGGTATTATTAAAAGTCAAAGTCAAAGTGATTACTCCATAGAACTTTTAGGAAGAATATAACAATATATCTTTCTTTACCTATCCAATGCTAATACAGTGGTAATGTAGAACTATTTTATTTTTTGTAGCAATTTAATAGGCACTATGAAAGAATTTTTCAAAAGAAAGAAAGAAAATAATCTTTAGCTCAATCAAGGTTACCAGACTGTCGTTACCGTGTGTGTGGAATTTTACTTCAAACTATTAGTGAACAGAAAGTTAGTTGATCATGGTGATGAGAAGATGATGATAAGTACCATTGGTTGAGAATTCACTCACTCTGGGCAGCATTATTCTAGGTTCTTAACATGCATTAATAATCTAAAAACCCTTAACAGCCTAATGAAGTACCATTAGCACTCTCATTTTCAGATTAAGAATCTGAGTTATAAACAGGTTAAGTAAGTTGCCCAAAGTCACATACCTGGAAAGTGGCAGAATCAGAAGTCTGAACAACTACACTGTTTATTACTGAGAGGATTTGGTGTTCTGTTTTTCTTTGGTTTGTACATATAGTTTGTTATCAACTATAGGGTGGTGCGGGACCTGCAGGACCTCCTGGTGAGCCTGGTGAACCTGGACCAATGGTAAATGTCAAGTAAGCATGTAGACCCGGTTACGTGCGAGTCCCCCATCCTAATGATTTCAAATAGTTATTTCTTTTCCAAGGTCTTCTCTAATGTAGCAGAAGACCCATCCAATGGGTCCCATCCAATTTGGGAGTCCTATTCTGTAGACTGTATTTAAGCTTTATGTTTCTTATGTCAGATAATTTAAACTCAAATGTCTCAAATTTAATGTCTCATCCAATTTGGGAGTCCTAGTCTGTAGACTGTATGTAAACTTTATGTTTCTTGTGTCAGATAATTTAAACTCAAATGCTCTGAATACAGCCTGTGGATAGTACGAGATATTTGCACTTGTGCAATTAAACATTTTCTGTTGAGGACATAGTCTGAGGAATACAACACACAATTTAAAACCTTAATAAAACTGTTTTCTCTGATTTTTTATATGTTTCTTAACAATACTATGGATTATATCATTGGCAGGTGGAGGTAAATATTTTTTTCATTTTGTTTTGTTTTGTTGTTAGGGTCCAATTGGTGCACGTGGACCAGAGGGCCCTCCAGGGAAACCTGGGGAAGATGTAAGATACCTTTCTTCTTTTTGCTTTGAAGTTTTAAAGGGTCAAGAAGGACCTAACAAGAATGTTCTGCATTAATTCTATTTCATTTCCCAACCTTCTAGTGTTCATTACATTTAGTATAAACCCGAGAACTCAGAATACAATTCCACTAGGGCTCTTAATTTTGGTAGTGTTAAGTACTATCTCTGCCTGCGTTCTGCAGGTTTTCCTGAAGAGTTCTTCATGAGATACTGGAATTGTTGTCATAATAGCTACAACCTTTACTGGTGAAATCAGTAAAAATCTCTGATGGCAATACATCATTATGAGGTCTTCATTAAATGGAATATTTTAAATATGTGAGTAGTATAGTGCCAATATGGCTCCCCCATGCTGAAAAGGTGATTTATTTGATTGGATTTTTAATTGAAGTTAGACTCAAATCCAGATTTTAACATTAAGAACATGTTGTCAGTGATCAGTGTGCACTGACAGATTTACTTCACTAGAGTCTTAGTTGTGCTAAAGTTGAGAATGGAATTGTGGGTAGGCCATTAATTACCACATGATACTAAAGCAAGTGAATATTTTCTCTTGTGAGTCATAAGATTTATTTAAAAAGATTACATTGAATTTGGCCATTGAGAAAATATCTCTGGTAGTTCACTTTTTATCACAAGGAAAGAAACAACCAGCAGTATTTTAAGAAAGAATGCTTGAATTCAGTTTCATGTGGTCCTATAGAATCTAATAGCATATGTGTATACGTAAATTTTGATGTTCATGAAATGGCAAGCTGGATAAGACCAGGATAATTGTATCCATTTCTTCCTCTGGATAAATTAATGAAAGCATCACAAACTAACTTGTTAGAATAAGTTGATATCAAGAATAGAACTTATTTATTTAGTTAGTTATTTTTATACTGCTTAGAACACTGCACATGAACTTTTTAAAGAAGACTTTTTTATCTGCAATTTATTTATAATTTAGTCTCAGGAAAGAACCTTTTAATTTCTTTTTTGCCTCCTCTACCCCTTGCAATTTTTATAAAGGGTGAAGCTGGTAGAAATGGAAATCCTGGTGAAGTGGGCTTTACAGGATCTCCGGTAAGTTTATACTTATCAACATAACAACATAAAGACAACTTCAAAGATTAAATAACATTATAATTAAATTGCAATTCATCGTATGCTCGTGTTCTAGACATTAAGTAGATGTAAACAACCAAGCAATGTTCCCTTCCATCAGAATGTTAAACAGCACAGGACGTGTTGGCAGAGAGACAGCTAACTCCAATTCCCTGCCTTGCACTGGCACCATAAATTAAGAACAACTTTCCTGAAGTCGGAGGATTATACAGTAACCTACCATTGTGCTCTCCAAACTGAGTGTCAAATTTTCAGGCAATTTAGAAAAGAAAAAAAATGAGTCACCAGCCTGACTTATTCATATCTCGGTTCTGTTTTATCTTTTAACAAATACTTTTAATACTTTTATTTTATATTGTGCCAAGTGTCTAAACAACACTTTGGAAGGAAAGTCTGTTGACTTGTTTTTATCAAGGAGGGAGCCCAGGATGATAAATTGTGGAAAGGATGCCTCTTTGACAAGTCTCCAAACCTTAATGTTGGATGAAATTCTTGATTAATATTCTGGGCCCTAAACTTTTCTGACAAGATATGCCAATTGCCAGGCCTCCCAACATAGCTGTTTGCTCTTTCCATGGCTCACTAACAGTAGGTCGCTGGCAGCCCACACCACTGCACTTTAGGACCCGGGCCATTTCTCATACTTTGAACCCACCTGTCTATTGTCACTCATATTACTTTGTTAGGCCCTTTCCTGGAATGTGCTACACAGGAAATAGGGAGAAATTAAAGAAGCAAAAATATTTCTCGAACATTTCTATTTGTTGTGTTTCTCCTCTTCAACAGCCCCCAAATATTCAGCCTCTTAATGTATTTCCTCCAACTTTCTAATGTTTCTGTAACTCAGCACAGCCAACAGTACTACATTACCCTCTGTTTAGTTTCTGAAAAGTCAATGCTAAGAACTTTTTAAAATAAATGAATGCTTATCTTTTATGGGAATTTATAGGACACTAAGGATTATTTAGTTCCAAATTAAAAAAAAAAAAAATAGTCCCTTTCCTCCCTCACAAGCCTGGGAGTCATGGCAGACAAAGGCATGAGATTTAGTTATTAGCACAGATGTTCTTTTCAACCAAGCTGGGCTTGAACCTCCTGTGTCCTGCTGTACTTCTGCATATCCTCACAGTGTGGGCCCTCCATGGGAGGAAAGGTGCCCTGCCAGCACATCCCAGATGTTCTCTGAAAGCTCAGTGCAATGTGCGACTGTGCTATAATGACAGTCCTGGGTCAGCAGAATAAGGATTTTTTACGAGCTTCAGGACATCTGGTTCATTTTCTTGTTATATTAGGAATACGTAATCACACAAGAATTTCCCTTGCAGACTGTAAAAGCTGAAGTTAACTAATTATTTGAAATAACATAGCTCAGTTATTCCCCTATAGGCTTAGATGGGTGTGTATTGAGTTTTCTGTTCAGGATGAAGAAGAAACAAATCTCAGTAAAATGGAGCATTTTATTTGAAAAACTTAAAGGGAGTTTTGATGAGAAGAATTTCTAAGCATGGTTATGTAAACAGAAGTATTAGCAGGACTTCATTTGTTCACAGAGCATGATTTGATGTATCAGTACTGTGATAACTCCCTAAACCACTAACGAAATATTCTCCCCTTAAGAGGTCATAGAGGAATCATTGCTTTGATTTTTACCATGTGAATTTCATTTATTGAGTTGCATATTCAGTCATTTAGAAAGTAGCAAATGAAGCCTGTGATTTTCAGAGCAGAATGCTTTTGCCATCTGTGTAAGATGGTGCTGAGTCTCTTAAGAAAGGATTAGGTGAAGTGCTATGAGAGTTAAAAATATTGAATCATTTACTCATTCATTTATTTACCCAGTGATTCTTGATTGAATCTCCACTAACTAGCATAAGATTATGTGCCAGGGATTTGGAGATTAATAATAATAGATAGCAATTGATAGCATTAGTCTATGCTATCCAGGTGCTCAATGATAATAGTGCTAATGGCATTGAATGCAAAAGAAAATTAATGTAGGCAATGAACATTTAAGTCAGTGGGCTATTATCTATTTTAAGAGAGTCAAAGGAAAATAACTCAGGCATGATTTTGATTTGATTTTCTATCATATCTCTATTGGTTTTTAATTAATGTGCTTATGTGAAAGATGCATGTAATTAGCATAAATTAAGAACATACTGAGTCAAGAAACAAAGCCATTCACATATTTTCTGACTTTAATTTCTGTTATTTTATTTTCTCATTTTTAGATTTTAAACAACCATTAATCCACACAACTTCTAAACATTTCACTTAAAGGATTTTTTCCTTTATAATACTATTCATTATACTATTTCCATTATAATACTATCTTTCCCCTCCTATTCTGCTGCCAATTTTCAAAGTTCAGAGAAACTAAACATTGGTTTGCTGCAAATGCATTTACTCTCTGTCACATATAAATCATAATATAAGGGAAGGAAAACATATTTTCTCTTAAATTTCTCTCCAGAATTTTTTTTCCTGTAGTTTGGCCTAGTCAGCTCAGGCACTAACCATGTTGATTCAGGCTTACGGTCTTGTTTGTTTTTCTGGTACTAATTACAACAAATTATCACTTGAAAATTTAAAAATGTCATGAAATCAATGCATGACATGAAACCATATCTTCATATAAGTTATTTTTCTGTTTCTAACAGTGTGTGTACTTTGACGTGTTCTGATTGCCCTGGTGTATTTTAACAGACAAAACCATATCACTTGATAACCTTCTTTAGTATGTGGATGAAAAACTGTATAGTAATTATATGGGGGAAAAACCATATTAACCTTAATGACTGTAAAATGCCTTATCCAATTTTCCCCCCTAGGGAGCTCGAGGTTTTCCTGGGGCTCCTGGTCTTCCAGGCCTGAAGGGTCACCGAGTAAGTTTGTCTATCCATTGTCCTCCTCTTAAATACTGTAGTCTACTGAGTAGGGTACTCTGAGTATTAGCTCCAAGACATGTATAGTTCCATCTGTCAGTTGTCATTAATTGGCTGTGATTGCAGTAGTTACCTGTAGTTACTGAAATCACAGTGCCTTTTTAGATTTCCTTTGAATATAATTTGATTCTATAAAGAAGTTATTTTAAGTTATTACTATGTGCCAGATGCTATGTTACAAAAGAGGATATAGTAATGAATGAGAAAAGTTTCTGGCCTACAGCTTCAGGTTAATAAGGGATGTCGGGAGGCTGAGGCAAGAGAATCACTTAAGCCCAGGAGTTTGAGGTTGCTGTGAGCTGTGTGATGCCACAGCACTCTACCAAGGGCCACAAAGTGAGACTCTGTCTCTACAAAAATAAAATAAAATAAAATAAGGGATGTGGATGAGAAAGCAGGCAATTATTGCCTAGTAGATACAAGTAGACAGAACATTAGGTGCAGGAGGGGCCTAGTCCCTCCACATGTACTTAAGATAAGGTGACCAGATGTCCTGCTTTTGGCAGGACAGTCCTGATTTTTAACAATTTGTTCTGTGTCCCATGGCATTTTTAAAAGGTCCTGATTTTTGGAAAGCATGCACGACAAGCTAGGGAATGGTGGGAGAACGGGAAGGGAATATACAGTTTTCAGCTGCCATGTGACTATTTCACCAGGATTTGAGTTTTATATTATTTTTGTTAATTTTATAATGTTAAACTTAAATAATAACAAATAATTGTTGAAAACTAATAATTGAGAACTGCTTATCAAAGTTTGCATTGTTGATCAGTTGTTAGAATTCGACGAGAAATATGCCAAAGAATAAAATAATACTATACATAATTTTTTTAATGTATTATATTTGTAAACTGTACTTATGTTGAAATTAAAAAATATGTATTATAATACTATTTTTGTGTTCTATGAAAATTTTTGTTGCTCCATATAGACCAAATTTTTAATTAAGAACCCCTCCCACCCTGTCAATGGTGTTCCGCTTTATCAATGTTAAAATCTGGTCACCTTAGCTTAAGATAATTAGCATGGAACTATGCTATGTACACAATGTACATTGTGTGCGTATGCAGAATCTATATCTATATCTATCAGAAAGCAATAGTGTTCATCAGTACTCTGGCCTCTGTTTTGAGTAGCTCGGCTTCTGATTAGTATAGTTGTTGCCATACTAGTTTCAAATATTGTGAATATCATTCTATTTTCTAACTATGTGAACTCTACTACTATATGTTTCCTTTATAGCTACTAGAAGTTTTTATATTTGTAGCTATAGATTGAATTTCTATGAAGTCACAAATATTTGAAATGTGACAACATTGCAAATCAAAATGTTATTTAAAAGTGAAAACCTTAATTTTCTCTGAATAAATCTTCCCAAAAGGTTGAGAATTTAAAAATATTTTGAGCAACAACTTTGAATTTGAGATTTCTTTTCATAAGGCACTTTCCATGACCTTGTTTTTGGTTCTCCTTGTATTGATTTGAGAATTGATAAAAGAAGATGCAAATTCAAGTTTATGTTTTACTTCTCAGGGACACAAAGGTCTTGACGGCCCTAAAGGTGAAGTTGGAGCACCTGGTTCCAAGGTAATTTTATAGTCCCTCAATGAAACCTCGCTATTGCATTTTGGCCCTCCTTCAACTGTCTACAAATTTTTCAGAACTCCTTTAAATAATTTTGGAGGAAAGAGGGGTATAAATAAATGAATTGTTAGGTAAATAGTGTAATTTTTCATAGATTAGTGGTAATGGCTTTACCAGGTGAGGTGACATGACCTTACTATACCACCAAAAATAGCCACCGTGGCTTTGGTTCTACCAATGTAGGATGGATATTATCTTTATATGAAGATGGCACTATGGATTCATCTTTTAAAAGACATTCACTTATTTTCATTAAAAATATCAGAGCAGACCAGGCACAGTGGATCATGCTATAATACTCACTCTGGGAGGCAGAGGCAGGTGGATTGCTTGAGCTCAGGAGTTTGAGACCACCCTGAGCAAAAGTGAGACCCCATTTCTACTAAGAAAAAAATAAATTAGCCAGGCATGGTGGTACATGCCTGTAGTCTCGCCTACTCTGGGGGCTGAGGCAAGGTGGTCTTTTAAGCTCAAGGTGGCTATGAGCTATGATGACACCACAGCATTCTACCCAAGGCAAGGGATACTTGGTCTCTAAATAAATAAATGAATAAAAATGAAAATATCGGAGTGGTTTAGGTAGTTCGTTAGTACTGTTATGTAGTACCTTTTAATACTAAAACCTTTTGGACATTGTTTTTTCTCAACATTTATTTATGTTTCTAGAAAGAGATAAAACATCAAGGAAGTATAAAGGAATTTTCAGTGGGTAGTATCATGAAATATAAGTGTGGAAAAATATTTGACTTTAAAGGCTTTATTTCTAAGTCTCCTATAATGGATCTTAAGACAACATTTTGGCCAATTTTAGCTTTGTAAAGTCTACTTGAGACATATCAGACATAGACATATAAGTACTTAAGACTAATCCCTGTGACTAGTTGTGATAGTTTCTATCAATCTCGTTTAAATTCCCAATTTTATATTATACTTATTTCTATAGAAACTAAATTATTATTGCATTTTGGGAAAAGGCAATAAGGTGAAATTCTGAGGTCCTTCATTGATATCACATTTTTCATATGTCCTCTGATAGCACACCTTTAAAATTATACACATGTGGAACAAAGTGATATCTGTATCAGTTGTTGGTTTCTCCTACGGTAATGTTGTCTAATTTTTGCTTTAGGGTGAAGCTGGCCCTACTGGTCCAATGGGTGCTATGGGTCCTCTGGTATGCATCAATTTTGTTTTCTCATTTCTAAGATTATATTTCTTTGTTTTTTAAATTATATTAAAAGAATGTTTAAATGAAAAAATAAAAAGACGTGGAGAATATACGTTAGCTGGTGAAATAATCTTGATTACTAGTGAATCGACAAGGACACCAAGAGAATTGAGCCCTTGTAAAGAAAAAAGGACCTCTGCATTTTGTTGTTTTTCTTAACTGTTGAATGTCCTTATTTTTTTTTTTATATTCAGTAATCAACTCAGTATTACTGTAGATTTATACTAATAGAACTAGGTTAAAGGAAATTTATTTTTGTTAGAGATGGTAGGTTACATATCTTATTGGTGGATAGTTTTTCGAATGCAAAATTGCCCCTAGAAATACTACTACTTGGTGACCAACTATAATTAGTTTCAATTGGATTAAATTGTGTAGTCAAACTACCTATCCTTCAAATTAGATAACTCAAGAGATTGTTTTACTCTCATCTACAGGGTCCGAGGGGAATGCCTGGAGAGAGAGGGAGACTTGGACCACAGGGTGCTCCAGTGAGTATGCGTGCTTTTATTTATATTGCCGAGATGTGTATTTTAAATCTTTTTTCAGATTTGCTTTACTTAATACGCCTTTTAAATGAGATTAACAGTACTAACAGTATTATCATTTCTTAGCCTTTTGGCAAAGATCAAGTGTGGAGATTAACAGCATCGATCACCTACTTCTAAAATTTATTTTGGAATGACTTTAGGTTTACAGAAAAGTTGAGAAGATAGTAGAAAAAGTTTTCATATGCTCCTCTCCTGGCTTTAATGTTAACATTTTATATAACCACAGTACATTTGTTTCCTGCTTATTTTAATACAAAAATTAAGAAAATAATATAGTCCACAGGAAAGCATGGAATTTGGAATACTAGTACAATTACAAGAATAGGAAATGTGTATCAAGTACTATTATATGCCAATCATTCTTAAATGCATTTTATTCATCATAATACTAAAAAGCAGTCTATGAATATACCCTTTTGGAAGAACTGAACTTCCTAATTATCTAGCTTTGATTTAATTGTATAGAATGAGAAATGCCCTTGGTAACTGATTATGTTCTTGAACAATTCAGGACTCTGACCATAACATAAAGACTTTCTAGGTTTGAAAATTCACTTCTCAAGAGCTTTTACATACTTATCCTTCAGTATTGGTTAGGATATTCACATTTTTCTTTTGTCTGATTGCAGGAGATAAGAATCTTTTAACATGTTGCCAAGGAGCCTTACCTTGGTGATTATTCTCCATCAGCCTTTCAATGTCTTTCCCAGTAGATACACTCTACAATACCCAGGAAATTTCCTCAATTTTATAACTGCTGTTTCCTCTCAAATTCCTGAGATATTGCATCCCCAGCCCATTGCCTTACAGCATCTTAGTTCACCATTGGAGGCAATGTTCACCCCGGCACCACCACAGCATGCCACAGAACATCTTCCATGCCCCATCTGTCACCATCTGACCGGTAGAGAATCCAGCTTTAAAATTCCATTTTAGAGTCTATTTTCTTGTATAACTTCTGACACCACTTGTCTTGGAGTCTTAGGTCAGATTTCTTAGGAAATAGCCTCAGAGCAGTGACTTATATACAGTACAGGAAATTTACTAGGGAATGCTCTTAGAAACCACATTTCTGAAGGAATAAATGAAAGGAACATGGTTTGCCTGAGGGAGAAAATGAATTGTGTTTCAATTACAACAGAGACCTCAGTCAATCTCAGGGGAACTATAGAGCTGGGTTGTCTCTTCAGGTTTGTCTTAAACCAGGGACAAGTTGTGTTAGAAACTTTCCAATTTCACTGTTGTAGGATTTGAAAGTATAACATAACTTGTTTCAGGTGATTTATTAATACACATTGTAAATCTGTATCAAAACATCACACATACCCTATAAATATAAACAATTATTTACTTATAATTAAAAATTTAAAAATATTAAAATAAGGCCAGTCTTCTGTACTCTGCAAGGACTAGAGAAGGTATATAACTTTGGGAAAGCTATCTCCTTTTAGCTGAGGGCAATTCCTGGAAGTCTTAACTGTGAGACCAGGAATTCCATCAATAGGTAATACTTTGAACTAATAAAATGAATACTTCAGTCTCAAAGTGATATCTGAGTGGAATGCACAGAATTCATCACAATTTAATTTCCATAGGTGTATATTTTCTTTCTTTCTTTTTTTTTTTTAATAAGGAAGACTTTCCTCCTCTGTGTTAATCTGCCTATTGAGAAAATTGAGGTGTTTGAATTTTCATTGTCTCTGAAGTCATACAATAGCAGGTGATACATTAAAGTAAGAAGAATAATTGTAATCAGCTACATTTTTATTTCTTATTGAACTAAGGATGGATGTGTTTGTTACTATCTTAACAATTTTCTGTAAATGTGTATTTTTATTCCTATTAACCAAATGAAGATTGTTGTCAGTTAAACTTAATATTATTATTCAAATTTTAACATGGGAATTTTTTATAAAATGGATGAACGAGTTTTAGAAAACTGATGGGAACATATGGTATAAAAGGTAATCTTATTCTCTTTTGCCTTTCTTTCTTCTAATTAGGGACAACGAGGTGCACATGGCATGCCAGGAAAACCTGGACCAATGGTGAGCTGTATTAGTTTCATATTAATTCATTAATTTATTCACTCATTCTTTCATTTGTACATTCACAAACATTTACAGAGCACTTACACTTGACTAAAAATCTGATAAACACCCAGTACTTGTTTAACAGTGTCCTATTGAAAGATAAATGAATTAAGATAGTTAATATTATTGCTAACTGCTATAATATAGAATGCAACTGGGGGTCTGGGGATAAAGAAGAGGAGGTACCTAAACCTAGTGGAAGATGGAGAGGGAGTCTTAAAAAAGAGTAACTTTCAAACCAAGTCTTAATATGATACATATAATGGGAATAATTCCAGAGAGAAATTATAAACACCTAAACTTAAGTTATCACAGTGGCAGTGGAGACAGGTTGTATATTATGGAGCTTGGAAACTCTAATGGATGGGGCCAAGTAGATTTCCGGTTTAAGGAGTTTGGTGGGTGACATACTTTATCTGAAATTGGAAATACAGAAAGAAAAATAGGCTCTTACCTCTGGGCTTGAGTTTATAGTGGGAAGAAATGAGTTCAATCTTGTAATAGGATATTCCAGAATGGAGCTCAGGGTAGAAATTTGAATTGCAAATATAGATTTGGGAATTTTTAATATATAGGCAATAAATAAAGCCTCCAGAGTAGAAGTGTAGCATGGAATGAAAAACAACGGTTTCTCAGGTTGTGATGTTTTTGTACACTTTGCTTTTTGTGCCCAGTATTGACCTTGCATTTTGCTCCAGACAATGTTATACTATTTCATAGGTATCCCTGTAAATTATATGTATAAGCCTTTAACTCACATTTGAATATGAAAATCTGAACATTTGTTTAGCTAAACAAATGCAGGG